GACTAATTATTTTGTTCCTTGTTAAAAGAATTTTGAATAGAAACTGTCAATATATAAACTAAAGCACCAACCTCTTTAAGGTCTTGGTGAGTAGTCAGCAGAATAGAACAGGTTTCATATATTATTAACTCTTAGAGTAAGACAAGAATATAGCACATCTTTATTATCAATTAATTGAAAAAAGGCAAGAAAAAACTCATATTGAAATTCCCCAGCAGCATTCAAGAGAAAGTGCCATCCTTTATTTAGACAGATAATGCAAGATTACATTCAATAAAATACATTCATAAGATCAGAGGTATTTTAACTGCATTCTAACTCAAACAAGTTAGCACCTTTAAATTTTCATTTAATCAGATCACTGGAACACGTTCATTATGGCAAAACATTTAGAAGTAGAGATGCTATCAATTCAGTATTATTAGAATGCTTTGGGGCTAAAATCTTTCCACTAACATAGTTTTATAGTAAGCTTTTGTTATTGTTAATAATAATAATGTTTGCTACATTTGAATGTGTTTTTATTTCAGAACAACCTAATACAGTGTATAGCAGAAATACCTCCCACATATACCTTTCACATAATTGTAAGACATTAGTGATACTGGAGTCTTCACCTAGCTAATGCTTTACTATTATGTGGGAGATATTTCTGGCAGATGTTCTGTCACACCCTGTATCATTGATCAATTTAAAAAATAAAAATACAAATTAATTTCAAACTGTCTTTTAAATTTCTCCAACAATCATTGTGTTGCATCAACACCTAAATGGACCATGTTGCACTGCACACTTTTATATTATTACAAATACAAGATCCAACCTTTTATTACCTTTTATCAAAGTTTAGAAGATACTGAGAAAGAAAAGTTTCTCACTTTATATATAAACTTCAGTTTCATAAATGCCCTTTGCTTGCCACAACCATTAAAAATTTCTTGAGTGCAAGAAAATTCACTGAACACATGTTTCAAGAAATGTAATGATGTTATTGAATTTCTACTTTTAAAAAAAAATATTTTATAAATATAGGAGTTATAATAATCTGCACTGATTTTTTAATAACTGAATCGGAAATGATAAACACGAAATATTTGATAAAATCATAAATTTAAAAATAATGAGACAAACATTTAGGCTTTAATAAAAACTTCCTTTAGTTTGAATGAATTTTTGGCTTGATAGGATCATGCATTTCTTAATTTATTTTCAATTACATTTCATGTTCTTTAATAAGTTTAGTTGATTTTCTTTTCTCCAATTCTGTATGAACCATACAATATCTTTCTCAGTTATAGATCAATCATAAAAACAAAAAGAACCAGATAGGAAATTATCTTTTTGAAATGAAATTCTAAAAATTTTATCAAAACTATTTTAAAATGGTTATATGCATGTGTCTATACTCTTATGATTACAAATGACCCCCACCTATGTTTAAATGCCAAAAATAAATCTAGCTGAAGACATATCTATATAATAGCTGTAAAATTTTTTAAACTTAAATTTCATACCAATTATTATCATATAAGTGATTTAAGAACTTGTAAATAAGTCTCCCCAAAAATATACAGTAACTGCTAAAGAGAAAATATATTTGTCATTTTGTAACAATGAAGCAAAGATGAAACTGACAAATTCATTTTAGATTTAAAGACTGCCAAATTTTTTAGATTTTTTATTAATCAATTAACCCCAAGCAAGGCGATAATACCACTGAAACACAAGGGACTACTGGAGTGAAAAAGAATGAAAAAACTTTAGAACAAACTGGAAATCTAATCCTAAACAGGAAACAAGGGATAAACCCCTACTCTTGTTCAAAAGACTGGGGAGGAGGTTTGAACTGGGCATTAGGTGAACCTAACTACTCCTAAGAGACCCTCTATGACATATCATACAACAGTATGACAGAGCTAGGCTATATACAAGTTATGGTAGCCTACAATATCTGGATACCATATACATTAATTTTATATACAAGACTTCAAACACATACTATCAGATATAGTCCTTTTAACCAGACTTTGTTAATTTCATAAAAATTTGTAGGGTATACAATCACTAAATGTTATAAAATATTACTTTTTCCTTCTTCCAAAATCACTTGACACAAAAAAGAATAAAAATAAAATAAAAAAACTAGTTAGAATTGTTACATATATGTTGTTATACTTTAGATATTACATGGCAATTTGGGTGTGAGTCTGCTAGTAGATTTAAAGATGAAAAGCAAAACACAAAATCTCTATTTGAAGTTGTTCATTTTCTATTTGAATCTGCAGAAGAAATGTCTCTTTATTTGCTATGCAATATTGAAATACTTTTAAAAAATAACATAATAATAGAGACATTTTTTAATACATGGCCAAGTGGTTAGAACATCAGCATTTTGATTCTGAAACCCACATTTAAATATCACCATGGTTGATTTATGAAGGTGATGTCTTCTTGATGATATCAGCTTGTGGAGATGATCACAGGGTGTGGCATTGTTGGGAAGTGCCTGAAAACCCATATCATGGTTTTACACAAGCTTTGTTAATGAAACTGAGTAGACAAAGCTATTTAGAAGCTGTTGATGATTGTGCTAGCATAAAGTTACAAGTTATTGTGACTAAGGGTTTGAGCATACTAGTCTTGTTCAACTGATGATCATGCTATTTTATGTACTTTCTCCCAGAAACTAAGCTCTGCTCAACATAGTTGCAATATAAACCATAGATTAGCCTTGTGGGTGTTGAAGAAACAAGTGTGACAGAGCAGGCGCCTACAACAGGGATTAGCTAATTATCCTAAAGATTGTAATACTATGGACACTCACATAGAAGTGGAAGAAGTGGTTTTATCTTGATCTAAAGTGTTTCTCTTTGATGGACCAACAGATAGAAGACTAAACTTCAAAAGGAACTAAGTGGCGTCTACTCTAACCGAGGGGGAATGGGAACTAAAGGGATTTTTGGAGATCAAGCCACCACGTCAAGATGAGTGAGGTGTTGGTAGGGGTAAGAACTGACAACTGACCCACCTACCAACCCACCCAAACAAGCTGGTGAAACCCAGAATGAAACATTTACATGTAATATGGAAAACAGGGTTCGTGTTCTTATTTCTCAACATTGCACTTGTTTTTCACCATATTACCTTGTGAGCATGCTCTTCCCCAGCTTTCAGTGCACACCAACAAGATTAAGGATTGAATGTGGGGTAATCATTGGCTAGTCGGTGGAAGGGTTTGGTGAGGGACATGTATGTTTACAGATGAGCATACTCAGAAATGAGAACCCAACTATTATAATAGTGACGTTATTATGATTTATAGACAAATTCAGAATTGGTCAATATACTAAACTATAAACAAAGGTTTATTACGTATTAAGATGAGACAGAAATTTTTCATTAGGAAAAAGAAAATTAGAAAAACATGCATTTAGTACAATCCAAAGCTAATATAAAATTTGAACATGCCATTAGTATCAAAGTCAATATTGGTATATCAAGTGAGCATGAGGAAATGAAGTGATGGCTCAAGTGTAGAAAAATAAATAAGTTACCAAATGAATAGAATTAAAACTAACATTTTATACTAATGCCAAAAGGTAATAATTTTATTTTCTATTATGTTAACACCTATTATAAAATTTTGGTGTACAGTTGTAAAGGTAATCATATATATGTAGGTTTTTAAATTTAATGCAAGTGACATTTTATAAGATTTGGGTATATAGGTAGTTATATAAGAATATATAGACAAGTTTACATTACATGCAGGGAGGGAGAGATATATATTTATATAAATTAAAAAAGAAATCTGCTATTATACTCCAACATTTTGTTTTGTCAATTTTATATATTGTTCTGGTGAGCTTTCCTCTTTCATACAATATTGAAAATATCCTATTGTTATCCTACAAAGTACAAGTTTTATAAGGATATTTTGGAAATAATCTTTGTGCCAACAAAAAACAGTGTGTCAAAAATATGGTTATTCACTTGACATTATTATTACTGTATACACTTTTGATTCCCTCAGCAGTGTTTAATTACAAGGAAATAAAAATATGTGAACCAAGTACAATGCAATACTATTTACCTTTTCTAAGGATTTACTTACTATTTTTTAAAAGAAATAAATTTGAAAAAACCTTTTTATTAAAAAAAAAATTTATAAAAAATACAAAATTATCAAAATATATAAACTAACTACAATGCAATATTTATTATTTACTATTTTATAAATAACTATGAAAATAAGTATTTTATTTAATTTAATAAATATATAGTGTTTAATATCTTTGTTGTCAATTCACAAGAATAAGGAAAATGTATAAATCAATTTTCATGAGTTTTATTAAAATTTGAATCATTGCTTTTTAAAAACAACAAACATTGCCATGTCAAAGTGGTGTCAAGGGAATAACCATTCCGTATTTTTGTGGGCATGAAGGTTAAACATTGCTAATATCTTTTTAAGACCAATCCTCACATAATGCAAGTGATCCCAATCCCCTAGTTGTATAGGTTGAATATTCAGTTATCAGCCTTCTATCCATAATACCAGCATACTGCATGCAGTATGTTATTTAAATACTTTTTCTTCCAGGAAAAAAAAAAAAAAATATTGGTCAGCAAAGATGGTATTTATTACATCAATAAATTAAATAATATATTTACCACCAAGAAAATCAATTTTTTTTCACCTTAGACTTGAAATAAATTTTCTTTCTAGATATTGTTTTGTTATTGTAATGAGCGTAACTTACTCAGAATTCCAGTTCTGTCCTCTTCTCTACTACTTGAGCCATACTTGCATACACTGGCATGTAGTTAAACAATTTTACATTTTTTAGCCAGTTGAAATGCTCTCAAAAGATACCATGTGACTTGAATTTACTTATAAACAAAAATTAGAAACCATGCCCTAAAGAAAGACAGGCAAATAAAATGAAAGTCATTCATTCCTAATATTAGCCATCTGTGTGAAAAGATGGTCAGCGTACCTTTTCAAGTTTCTTTCTTCATCCATAAGCAGATTCCGTGTCACTTGCAGTTTCTGGGAGAATTGTTGTTCCAGCCTCTTCCTACCTTTGATATCTGTAACAACCTATAACAGAAAAGTCACAAAGTGAATATTACATATAAGATTAGATCTATCATTATGGCTTTTGGTTTAAACAACAAACAAAATACTGTCACTATTTTGGACAAATGTTGTACAGAGAAAAAGAATTTAGAATACAAAAGAGAGAATTGCACAACAATCATGAAAAGATTAAGAAAAAAGACATGGAAAACTAAAGATTTTTTTTTCATTAACTATGTACATTGGAGAAAGAAAATTGCTGAATCTGTGTAATCAATGGCTAAAATAAACAACATTTTGTTAAAATTTTAAGATATTCTGGTATCTTTCATTATTCCAAAATTTTGAATCTGTTAACTTTAGTTTTGTGTAACACATGGCTGGCTTGGGTTTGTGATGTTTCACCATTAGCTTTAGGACTTCTTCAGCACTTATCTAAGCATGTGGAGTGGTCTCCTGTTTAGTGCATCAACAGACCAGTAACCAGGATGAATGGCCAACATTCTTGGCCATAGTGTTATATTTCATGCCATAACCAAAGATTCTTTGGTTAAAAATCATGTCTGGAATAACAAGAATATCTTCAGATATAGTGCTAAGCTAACAATTTATATTGCTCATCAAATAAAATTTGTTGTTTTTTTATTTCAGTTTCATAATCTTTATAAATGTTTATTTCTGACTGAATTTGATCTTCAAATAATATTTCAATGGTTAACTTTGCAAACCAGTCAGTGGTGAAATAACACAACAACAAACAAATTAAAATTCACTAAGCAATTGGTGGTTGCTTGGCTTTTATTCACATAATCTGTACATAGACCTAAAAAGTATTTCTTTTTAATATTTGTTAGATAACTTTGTAAATAGATAAAGACAGATCAACATGATTTTAACTATCATTTTTAAAATGAAATCCATTGAAATGACAAACATTTTAAACTTGTTACAAGGGAAAGCGAAAAACAATTATACTGAGCAAATTGTGGCCTTAAAAGTCTGTAAACAACATTTACATTTTGTTAATGTATTGTGTATGCATCACATACTGAGATATATTCATATATAGATGTATAAACAGACATAATTCTGAGTGACATTACAATTTTTTTTTTTTTTTTAAATCATTTTACCCCAATCGTAATGTTGGCCATTCATCCTGGTTACTGGTCTGTTGATGCACTAAACAGGAGACCACTCCACATGTTTAGATAAGCACTGAAGAAGTCCTAAAGCTAATGGTGAAACATCACAAACCCAAGCCAGCCATGTGTTACACAAAACTAAAATTAACAGATTCAAAGTATTGGAACAATGAAGGATACCAGAATATCTTAAAATTTTAACAAAATGTCGTTTAAGGTCGTAATTGCACTAGAATGTGGGGGAGGGGGTTACGAGGACTAAAAATGGATGAGAATGAGAAGGCTGAGAATAGGGAGGATTGAGGGAAGGACAAAAAATAAACAGGGTTCAAGGAGATAGAAGATGGTGATTGACATTGTATTTAAATTTTCAAAGATTATAGTTATCAGGGAAGCAAGAAAATGAAAAGGAGTTCCACAGGTGGGAAGTATGAGAAAAGAAACTGTTGGAGTAGAAGTGGCAATTGCATTTAGCTATTTCAACAGTAAAAGGTTTGGACCTAGATGCCAATCTAGCAGCATGTAGTTGAGGTACCAGGGGAAAAAAGCTTGTCAGAGCAGATGCAATGAAAATATCTGTAGATAAGACAGAGAGAAGCCATGTCATGTTGATGAGAAAGTGACTGAAGTCGAAATACCTGGTCAGGATTGATTACATTACAGACTGTTCTTTGAATTTTGTCTAGAATCCCAAGATATACAGTAGGAGCACCAGACCAAATATGGTAGCAATATTCAATGCACGGACAAATGGTAGATTTGTAAATGTGCAAAATGGAGTTTGACAAGAAACATTTTTTGGCACGGCCCATGAACTAACTTTCTTTACGACAAAAGAAATCAAACTCACCTTCTGAAGAATATTATACAATAATTTTACATTGTCAGTTACTGGTAAACCTGGATCAAGAAGATAATCATTCAGAACTTGATGAGGAAACAAGGCCAAGTGGGAGATCACAGATGTTATTTGGAGATTCATAGCATAGCTCTGAAGAGTTACAATGAGAAAATAAAAGACATCATTAATTATTTGACAACAGAAAAATAGGTTGAAATAAAGAATTTTTAAAAAAGAATTTATATAAAAATAAAAGTGACTTCAGTAAGAGGCCAGGATAAATAATACCAAGAAGATGAAAATTAATTTAAAATGATTCTTCTGCTCATTAAAGAAAAGTACATCATTAGTTTAAATCTAATCATGTAAAATAAAAGTGTCTATTTTTAGTTAAAATTATAAAAAGAATAGACATTTTTTATATTAGCATATAAGTAGCAATACTCAGTACTAGTGAATTACAGCATTGGTTTGTGAATTTGGCAATATAGTAATTGCGAGTTCTATCCCTGGGTTGGGCAGAGTGTGCTGGGATTAAGTGGAAACAAGGAGAGCAGTACTGAAAATAAGAATTAGACAAGATATCCCTAGACATGAGCAGTGAAACGAGAACAGTCTACTCCTATAGATTAAATAAAGGGTTCAGTATGGAATTCTCTGTAAGTTACCCAAATTGATATACACTTGCTGAAGGCCAGAAGGCAAGACAGCCGAAACATTGTGATTAACAAAAACAAAGATGAGGACAATAGTCTGCATGTAAATAGTGTAAATAATACATAGTATATTTATATAACTAACATAGTTTTGTGTCACAAATCACTAATTTAAAAAGTACAATTTACTAATTAACCTTTTTGTATCTAATTTGATAAACGGTTTTATACTTTTAAGCCAAAACAACAAAAGAATCAGTTAATTAGATCAGTTAAAAGTTTGTTTAATGTTCAATTAATTACCTTTGCTTTGTGTATAAGCGAATGAAAAATTTTAGAATATTGAGAGAAAAATGGTTAAGTAATTGAAGGAGTTATTTCCTAACAAAATACAAGGAAGCAGATCTTGGTCTATTACAGCTAAAAAAAAAAAAAAAAAAAAAAAAAAAAAAAAAGAAAATATTAGTCTACAACTAAGTCCACTATTAAGATGAATATTATTACCAAGTGTTTACAAGTTAAAGCTATAATCCTGAAACAATTACTGTAAGCCCTTATTATATTCATTGTCTATCATGAAAAATGAGGAATGTTACTCACAAAACATTGAAAAAAGGAAAAAAAAAAATACACGCTCACACACACATTAACAAAGGAGATATAGCAAAAGATTAAAAAAGAAAAACAAATTCACAGACCTGGTCTAACATCCGAGTGAGCTTTGTAAACAGCATTTGCAGGAATGCACCTTCATAAAATTCATGATCTGATTCTGTACTTGAGTCCATTTGAGATGGCCATTCCCAGTTCCGACACATTTCTTCAATTGCTGTAAACTATAAAAGAAAAAGAAAAATATTAGTTAGGTAGAAGATAAAGAAATATATGAAACCTTTTTCATATCATTGACTTTTAAGTATTTCTTTAAAAATGTAGCATTATTACTTAAATTAATTTAGTAGTTTTTGTCAAACTTTCATGAGGAAAAATAGAAGTTTGTAAATCCTTACCATCATGCTGGGTAGGAACCAAAAAGTAAAATATTTAGGAATCCCAAAAGTTGTAAATAAAAATCTGTCTGAATTATTCAAAACATTGAGAAATCAATACCATGCTAATTCAAATTTATTCCATCATAAAACTGGATAATAATACTTATTTAAAAATTTTACTTCAATGTAAAAAAAAAATAAAAATCCGTTCACTAAGAAATAACAGTTTTGTATTTAAAAAAAAAATTATTTGAGACATTACTATCTAATTTCATTTTTTTCACAGAAATTAATTTTAATTGCTGCAATTTAGTGAATACCCTGTTATAGCAAGGAAGGAACTGCTTAGTAAAAATTTTCACAAAATGAAAATTGTTGGTCCAAAGCTAGAGTTGCCTAAAAAGACTCATCAGTTATATTGAAAATTGATATAATGCTACAAATAAATCCTTTGCACAAATGAATATCAAAAAAAAAAAAAAAAATCCAAATTTCTAGATGTTGACAAGGAAACTTGATGAAATAACATTAATAATAAACGTTAAAATATAAAATTTAACAAACTTTAGCTTTCATACCCAGAATAAAACTGGGTGTCAAAAGGACAGTTTTTTCCCTTAAAAACCATTAGTATTTTAACTCCCTTCAATCCCTCAGCAATGTTTGTGGTTTTAAAAAGTGATGATTAGAATTTTAATAAAATCCAAACATATCAAAGTGAATTTATACATTTTCTTTGTTTTTTGAGAATTTACAACAATATTAAACACTATTAGATTGCTTATTTACAAGAATAATTTTACATTTAAAATATTCTCAAAATGCAAACAAATTACTACAATGCAATGTTTATCATTTATCACTTTATAAACAAATATGAAAATAATTTTTTTATTCATAAATGTATAAAACATGTCTAAACAAGAAAATTTAAATAAACAGATAACGACGAGTAACCATTATTATAAATTTTGAAAAAATGAATTTCCCATGCATTTCTTTCATGCAACAGTTCATTGATATTTTTATAAAATAATAATAAAACTTGTTTCCATAGCTATTTATAAAATAGTAAATAATAAATTGTAGTTGTTTTACATATTTTGATAATTTTGTAATTTTTTTTTTTTTTAAATTTTTGAAAAAAAAAAAAAAGATTTTTCACATTTATTTCCCTATAAAAAAGGTAAATAATAAATATTGCATTCTACTTGATTCTCATATTTTTATAATCTTGTAAATAAACATTGTCAAGGGAGTCAAGATAATGAAAAATAATAGTGATGTCAAGGGAAAAACCATCCTTTTGACACACAGTTTTTATGCAGGCATGAAAGTTAAAGTTTGCCTAAAATTTAATTTTGTCTTTACTCTGAATTTTCTGTAAATTTTGTTTTGGAGTACTTTACCTGTTCATGAGCATCATGTAAGTACATGTTATAACCACTGTTAGATGTAGGAGCAGCTGATTTAATATCTTCAGGCAGCAAACTCAGGTAACTACAATTATAAAAGTTCATGTTTGGTATGCAATCGTTTAAAAAAATCATAATATTGTTTGTTAGTATAATAAACAATTACTAGCAATCAAACATTTCTTTGGACAAGTTTTGCCATCAACCAGAAATTGTTTTTCACAGAAAGACTATCACACATCTTGCCTACATATCCAAAAACTAAATCAAGTAAAAAGATGGAAATTAATAAGAAACTATTTGTCCAAGACCAACTTCCTCTTAAACATATTCAACCAACAAAATGCTTTTTAAATTACTTATATCATGTAGGTCTTAGCAAGAACGATACTTCTTGGAACTTTGTGGACTGGCGCTACAGAATTACAAAGAACTGTATCAAATAACAAAAATCACATCACTTGAGGAATTCCAACAACAGTAACAATTAAAATGAATAGCACATGTAACTTGAAGATAGAAAATACAGACACATTTAAAACATTGACATTCCACACTAGGGAAACCGATTTTCCTGAAAAATTGTTTTAATAGAAGGATTTCAACCAAAAGTATCACTGGCTGCTCGGTCAATGAATGCCAAATATTTTCTTACAAGGAAATGCTAATATTGTCATTACCATTACCATCTTGTGGCATAGTTTGGTTATATACCTTATACAAGGTATGTCCAGAAACTATCCTGCTATTTAAGAAATTTTTGAAGATTAGAGTTAAAAAACAAAAAGCAAGAAATCAGAAGGGAGTTCCATAGGTGAGAAGTGTGAGAAAAGAAACTATTAGAGTTGAAGTGATGGCACCTAGCTAGTTCCACAGTAAAACAGTGAGACCTAGTTGCCAATCTAGTAACACACTTAAATTCATGTAGTCAGGGCACCAGGAAAAAAGAAGCTTATCAGAACAGTTGCCATGAAACTAGCTGTACAAAAGACAGAGGGAAGCTATGTCACATTGAAGCAAAGTGACTGAAGTTAAGATGCTTGGTCAGGATCGATTACATTACAGACCCTTCTTTGAATTTTGTCAAGAATCTCAAAACGTGCAGCCAGAGCACCAGATCAGATATGATTGATAGATTTGTACAAGATAGATTCTGACAAGAAAAATTTACTAGCATGACACAGAGAACCAACTTTATAAACCATCCCCAAGACAAGGATTTGATATTCACCTGTTAAAAATTGCGCTCACTTCTGAGCAGTAATATTCTGTATTAGAAGAGAAAGATTCTTCAGAATGGATAATATCAGAAAATGCTTTGCCACTTTCATCTTGTTCTGTAGATTTTGGTGTTCGCTTGACATCAACATCTCCATCCTCTGCAATAGAGCTACTGGTTTCAGAGCCAAACCCTTTTTTGTCGTCTTCGGCATTGCTTATTTCTCCCTCTTCCCCAACAGGTTCTTTAATGTCTGTATACTGAGTATTGTTGGCATCAGATGCTGAAGGAACTTCTTCTGTAGACTGACTAGATAGAGATGCTGATGGTGATTTGGGTTGCACAGAAGATGAAGAGTTTGTTGTTTGGGGTATTGTTGATACAGGCTGAGAGGGAGGATTAGTAAGATCATCTTTTTGTGGATCTGGACTGTTGGTGTCTTCAGGAAGGCGATCAATGCTGATATTTTCAGGAGGCACTGTTAGTTCCTTTGGTCTGGAATCAACAGATTCATTGAATGATTCTGTTTTTGTATCTGGAATATCAAAATCAAACATTATTTTCAGTTTTTTCCTGTAGAATAGACAAATCAATAAAGTTAAAAATAATGAGAAAAGAGGGGATTCTAGTGAAGAGGTAACAGTTTGGTTTTGTGGTAAGTTGTCTCAATTGACATAGAATTAGTATAGATCATTTTAAGACCGAACTAAGACAAGTTGACTATTGAATTGCAAGAGCTTTCATTCAAAAAATTTTAAGAAAAGTATGGGTGAAGTTAAAATTCACACAGACTTGGGAAAGGTGTGAATCCATCTTTTCTCCACCTCGGCTATGGGTTAAATAACAGAGCCAACTGAACTCTTTAACCTTGGGTGGCAGCAATTCTAAGCTAAGGACAGCTCTGAATTCGAAACCATGGAGAAGACAACAGGAAACTACTCCACTATCTTTCCTAAGAAGTTATGGCAATTCACAGACAATAAAGAAAATCTGTGCAGAGCTGTAATCACCTATGTACCGAGACGATAAGCATTAAAGGAAAAAATAAATTGATCATAAAAAAGCATGAAAATAGACAGATATCATGACAACTTTGATCAAAGAAAATTATAAATTAACTACATTCTTGTGCAATATCTTTCGTAAATTTTATTTCAGGTAAAGCTTAGGCCTGCTAATGTTAACATGTAACCAAGTACAACCTATTGCATAGTCAGGTGGTTGGCATCTAAACCAGCTCCCTCATTAGGGTTTCTGATGGTAAAAAGGTGGCATGGCATCCAACACAATGAAAAACAAGACCTGTCAAAGGATGAATGCCCTTCTTATAGGAGTCAATGGTTATATATATATATATATATATATATATATATATATATATATATATATATATATATGATATATATATATGACTAGGATGGGTCTCTAGTTTTGAATGCCAACCTTCCTAAAGATGGTGTCTCGATAAAAACACTCATTTACTTGGACTATCATGAATGTCCAAGTTGGGCAACAAGAAGGGTATCCAGTCTTGTAAAACCTTGACCCAAATCTTTGATAAATTCTTTATCAGGCAGGACCCACCTTGCTTTGTGAGAGATTATTCCTGGTCCAGCTTGAACAAAAAAAAAACAACTATGTATGTATGCTACCTATGTGCCACTTTTGTACATGCTTTTGACTTGTAATAGTTTCATTTTTACACGTTTATTCAATCAATATAGCAGAAACAATCACAATAAAATGAAATAATGCTTCAGAGGTGAAATATTGAAGGGAAGTTAATTTTATATTAAAGGTGATTTTAGTTATTTTATTTCTATAGAGATATTTAAGTGTAAATTTAACTTGTCTATAAATGTTTCTCGCTCTCTCAGAGAAAATAAATTCACTTGAAAAATTATTACAAGCTTGATATCAAATTTTGAAAGATTGCTTCATTTTAAATGGTTTGTGGTGTTCTTGCAGGCAATTTTTTTTTTTATCTATTTATTCTTAGCTTTGAAAAATATAAGTTAAATTCAGACAGTTGAGATAAATCATATTTTGAATATTTACCCAAAGATCCTGGAGAAGCAAATGTGTTGTTTGCCAAGGCAGCAGGGCATTTAGACATTGGACTCGTGTGGCATGTAACTCCAGGTTTGATGTGTTTACCACATTCCAGATTTCGTAAGACTAAATTGTAGACAATGAAACTGTCATTCTTCTGGAGTAAAGTATCAAATAGTTTCAGGGAAATTAAACTGACCTGGTGGTGAAAAGAAAAAAAAAGATACATGCAAAATATGCAGAGAAAGAATTTGTCTCTGAAAGGCAACCTCAAGAACAGTAGAAAATCATTTATTGTTCCAAAATTAATTTCTTACATTATACACAAAATCTAAAAGAATAAATCAGCTAAAGATAATCTGTACTTATTTGATGTTACAAGTATTTACCTTTAGCACTCAGGAAGCAACTATATTTACTGAGTAATAAGATTTTCCTGTCATTGCATGAGAGCATACTTAAATTTGGAGGTTGTGTTGTCATGTCCTGCTATGCCAACAGAAACCAACAGAGTGAAATCAAAAGAGCTACATCATTTCTGTCTGAATTTCTAGAATGACAAGTTGTTATTTAAGCTATTTACATTAGGACTATTATCCTCATTTTTGTTGTTGTTATCATGACATTTCAAGCATTGTGCCCTCCGACCTTTATTAGGTGTATGTTATATAACGTACCTAGGAACACTAATGCGTATGTCCCAATTCTCATAAATATTTTGGATACTATTGTAAGTGGGGGTAATATGCTGTTTAAGTAGCCCACCACTAGCAGTGGTTTACCTACTTCACACCGCTGATGAGTATTGTATTTTGTTAATGCTATAAAGATTACCATTTCATTTCCCACCTCCATTTTGGTTATTCCACATTAAGTAACCTTTTCTAGGTTACAACAGTATATCAATCCAAGTAACCTACAGGGAATTCCAAACTAAGCACTTTATTTAATCTACAAGGGTAGACTGTTCCCGTTCCACTGCCCATGTCTAGGGATATCTCACATCTAGTTCTTATTTTTAGTACTGCTCAGTTACTGCTTGGCCTGTTTCCACCAAGTCCAAGTACCCAGTGATAGAACTCACAATTACTGTGTCACCAAATTCACAAACCAACACTTTAATCTAGTAGGCTATTGTCCCTGTAGGTTACCTGGATCAATATACACCTGATGAAGATTGGAGGACACAGTGACTGAAACATTGTGATAACAATAAAAGCAAGAACAATAGTCTGAATACAAATAGCATAGAGCTACATCAATTGAAGAGCCTTGAAAAAGAATGCAGGGTAAGGAGAAATAATACTAAGGAATCATACAAAATGTCAAAGATTAAACTGTTAGAACAAAATTTGTTAATTATTATGATTAGGAAAAGAATAGAAAAAAAAAGACAGAGAACATAGTTTATAAACACACTAGGGTTATGTCACCAAAAGATGACTGGAAAATATTTAGTAGATACACAAGGTGAATGTAAAGTATCAAATGCAAAAGTTGAACATTTCATCAAAAATAATGATGTAATCAAAGCCTGATGTTGGACACTACTTCAAACCAAAGCTTAGAATGGAAGCCCCCATCAAAACTGGTAAGAGTGATAACAATTACTGAATCTGAAAAACCTATTTTCCTGAAAAATTGTTTTAATAGAAAGATTTTATTAATTTCAAACAACATTAACATTAGATGCTTGGTCAATGAATGGCTGAATGTTTCCTTATAAGGAAACAGCTAATATTACCATTTAATCCAGATAGACATTTCACTAAATTGTCTACATCTAATGTATATAATAAAAAAAAAATTATTTTTCTTACCTCTTCAGACAAGTGGTTACAGTGCTGGATTAACCGGTTTCGTATTTTACAAGAACTTTCAGTGGTCTTCTCATAGTGTTTCTCGTCACCCAAAATAAAATGCACAAATTCTGGAATAACAGAAAAGATTTCCAGTTAAATACAGATAAAACAGTTAATGTGACAATTAAGCATCTAAATCCTATCTAAATATTTTATTATTACCAAGTGAAAGAGCAGTATACTAACAAAGTCACACTGAGGTGCAAATATATGAAGTCCAGTATATCTATCATGATACCAAGTCTGGTAAGGGAATACCAGGAACATGCATAACAACCAAATGAACATGATACGGTGACAGGTTTTGATAGATGTGGTACAACCTTGCAAACAGAGTCCAGTTAAAAATACCTTCAAGTTGAGAAACAAAGTCTGCTGAAACAATATTGAGATTTTCCCAAGTATCTAGATATGACTCCCAAGTCGACTTGGCTGACTCACCCTTGAAATTTAAAAGAAAAAAATATTCTTGACACTTGATCATTCTGCTCCCCGACTACAACTGCTTATTATTATTATTATTATTATTATTATTAGATTGATGATGAAAAGATGGTTAATGTGAATGTCACTGTGTCACACTTTTTCAATCAAAGGGACACAACTCTAACTTTCAATAGCTGATGTTATAGAAATTTTGGATTCCCAAGTTTTCATTACTGCAATTGTTTTTGGCAATTTTATTTTACATGATTTTTTGCAATTAATTTTTTTGCATGATAACAATTTCTGTAACATGGAAATAAATTTGTGAATAACCAAAATTAATTGTGAAATCCAGTGAAAATGACCCATGAAATAAAAATAATTGTTTGTATGGAAAGTAAGGACCTACGTACATCGAATTAGTCCTTAGATTAAGTGGAAGTAGTAGAAGAATTATCATTGAACTTTTAAAAGGTAAGCTTAAATATTAATGCAATACTTAAATGCAGCAATCAATTTTTCAATAAGGCAGCTTTTAAGCTAGTAAATGAAAACTGTTTCATCAGAAAAACAGTTTTACATGACAATCAATCTATGTATATTAATTATAAGTTAAAAAAGGTGCTGAAAAGTTCTCAGTCCAACGAACTTCTCAAATTCAGTATTTCAATGACCAAAGATCAAAAATGTTTTTGAAAATGTTAAAAAGACTTGTGAAATGATATGCAAGATTGAACTGCAGAATAAATATGTGGAATAGCATGTATGTCGTCACTCCCTTCCTGGTCAGACAAAGAAATTTTCAGCACCAACTCATAAATTAACAGCACAAGCTAAATTTAGGTGAGACAGAAAATTAATTAAGTATATTTAAAACAAACCTGAGAGCAAAATGCTAGACACAGTCTTCAAGCAACGCCTGAGGTAAGCAGTACATGCTACAACTCCAGCCTCACTTCTAATGTTTAAAAAAAAAAAAAAAAAAAAAAAGTATTAAAACATTAAAAAAAATTCTCATAAAATGTAGATATGAAAGTATGATGGTCCTTTCTTTCATTTGAACTTTTCAAAATTCTTACAGAGTTTAGAAAAATGTCCCAAAATTGGCAAGAAAGGTTTCTTGGTGTTTGTTTTACATAAAACTAGTTCTTTTTGTAATAGGATTTTGTTAACTATTTCATAAATGGTAGTTTTTTCCAATACTGAATCAAAGCTTTATTTAAATGTAGAATTAAAAAAAAAAAAATGTGAAGAGATTTCAAATGATGTTATTAAAACAATTACTGTGGTCTTAAGTCGAAATTTTAAATTGATTTTAGTAATAAGTTTCAAATATTATACAAAAGGTGAATTCAAGAGCCCAAGAATAAAAACAGAATCAGTGACAAATCTTAATACAGTTGTAGTGAAAATAAACTGTTTGCCAATGTTGATCTCAAAGCCACTGTAATTGTTCTCCATATAATGCCATTATATCTTTCTACCTGGCCATTACCTTGAGGATTGTCCTACTACAAGCAACTCCCTTACCATTCAGAAAAACCCACAATTCTCTGCTCATGAAGGATGGGCTCTGTCTGAATGTATGTAAGCAGGGATACCAAAAATGGAGAACAACTGAGATAATGAATTAATAATAGTTGAAGTGGTCATATCTGCACCAGGGAACACAAAAGGAAACCTAAAGTATTCATCTATACTGTTAAAGAAAATAACAATTCCCTATTCATGCTAGACAATGGTTCCTAGTTTATGCTCAACTACTTGAAAGGCCGAATAGCTTTAATCAGGTGCATACTGTCTAGCCAATGAAAGTTTGGCTTGCATTCAGCACATATCCAACAAGATTTTATTACTTGTCACACAACCTCTACCTAATAGGGCATATGTTCTTTATTTTTACAAAATGGGTGGCATAAAATCTTATGAAGATTCAATAAAGATTGTTTATCATGACATAAATGCTCCAGAATAAGCCCTGGAGAATATATCAGGAGAAATGTTCTCCCAGTCTGGTCAGTGTTGAATATCAAAATTATAGCAAGATAATTCCATCTTACAGTGCAATATTTTATTGTTTTTTTTTTTTTACTTTACTTTTTGAACCTAATGGATCACTGGTCTATTTTCTGGCCTAATGGATCACTGGTCAGTTTTCACAGCGAAAACTAATGGATCACTGGTCAGTTTTCACAGCGAAAACTAATGGATCACTGGTCAGTTTTCACAGCGAAAACTAATGGATCACTGGTCAGTTTTCACAGCGAAAACTAATGGATCACTGGTCAGTTTTCTGGCCGAAAACTAATGGATCACTGGTCAGTTTTCACAGCGAAAACTAATGGATCACTGGTCAGTTTTCACAGCGAAAACTAATGGATCACTGGTCAGTTTTCACAGCAAAAACTAATGGATCACTGGTCAGTTTTCACAGCAAAAACTAATGGATCACTGGTCAGTTTTCACAGCAAAAACTAATGGATCACTGGTCAGTTTTCACAGCAAAAACTAATGGATCACTGGTCAGTTTTCACAGCAAAAACTAATGGATCACTGGTCAGTTTTCACAGCAAAAACTAATGGATCACTGGTCAGTGAAAATGTCTTCCAGTCAAATAATGCCGTCAATGACAAACAGCTTTGATGATTGCCTGAGCTTCCTTCACTATAGAAGCATAGTACTTCTCAAGACCCTGAAATGTCCTTGAGAAGAAAACAATTGGATGTCGAGCCTGAGAGAGAGAGAATCACCACAATAGCAACATCAGATGCATATGTTTCCACTTCAAATGGTAGCGACTCATTCATGGGTTTCATATACTGTGATTTCAGTAAAGTATTAACATCCCTGTAAGTAATGCATTCCAAAATAGTCACATAAATTTGGAATGAAACAAAGTTTACTAGGAGTCCCAGCTTGTACAGATTCTCTTGGGAAAGTGCTCCTTGAATGCTTGAAAATGGTATTTCTATTATTGGACAGTTGTTAGGGAACCAAGCTCCAAATCCAATCTCTCAGGTAAACGTTCCATTATAATAGTGATGTCTGTCAGAATAAATTGTAATGAAAATAAAGAATGCCTTAACTAAAGGCTTTATTTTAACAAAACCTGTCAGTCATATACTCGACAAAATAAGAAAATAAAAACTGCAGTGGAGTAATGGATAGCATCTTGGATTGAGGAATCAGAAAGCCAAGTTCGAATTCCAGTTGAATCCATTATGTGCTAATACCCTTGGGAAAGGTATAAATCCTCTTCTTCCCCCAGCTATGGGTAAATAGCAGGACAAACCAGGTTCTGTAGCCTTGGATGGCAACTGGTCTACCGCAGAAAGAAATGGCAACCTACTGCGGGAAAAAAATCTGCCTCGTCAGTCATGTATCGAAAGATACATGATCACCTAAGTGTGTATCATGTATGGCACATAATTGACTGATATAAAAATAAAACTCAGGATAGGAATAAGTCTACTCCAGACTGCAGTGGCAGAGGTGAATGGACTATGCTCATTATTTACAACAGTCAACAAAAGGAAATATCATCACAACAAAAATTAATATTTTTACTTTTATAACATTCTGTATACAACTAATATTGTTGGTGATGAATGACATAACAGTTATTGGTGTGGAAAACAAAATTGGCAAACCAAGTTTTAAATTTTAGTCAGGATCCTTCAAGTTCACTTTACTCTAGTACCCTTTAAGAGAGGCTTGAATCTACTTTTCCATAGCCAACTATGGGGAAACAGCAGGATGTTTGGAATTTTTTAGCCATGTAAAGACTATCCAACTGAGAGAAGGATATTATGGAAAAAAAAAATTCTCAGCTCAAATAAGAAGAGGAGAGATGAAAATGTCACTGGCATCACCGCTCTGTTAAAAAAAATAAATAAATAAAAGTAGCCATGTCCCTTCAGGACATGGGCAAACATGAATTTCTACAGATTCTTTTTCATTGTTATCTGTAATAGTAGAGTGGTTACTTGTCTTCTCCAGTTTTGAATTCAAGGTTTTCCTTCTCCTAGACTTGCTGCCACTCACCACTAAAAGATCTCAGTCTGCCCAATTCTTGAACCCAAAACTAGTAAGGAGAGGCAGTTCATGCCTTTCCTAAGGGCATTACTAAGTAAGTGAACACAACAGATAAGGCGAGAGCTACAACATAAAATTAAAATGTCCGAGTAACTGAACAAAATTTGGAAGCTTAATCATTGAATTTTAATACTGAGATCAGATTCCGAAAAGAAAAATTAACTTACGTTTGCAAGATGCCTGGCTCAATAATTGCTCTTAGAAAATTGGTGTAGATATACTTGGCCAATGCTCGACCGACCAACGGATTTGCAATTGTGATCAGCTGGTCACAGTAGTCTAACCAGGACAAGAAACACACTACATTACGTTTACCTACAAAAGTCTGTTTGTCTTCATACTCAGAAATCACATCCAACCTGTGAAAAATCAAAAATAGTTTAAAAGGTTTAAAAACACCAGAATTATTAAGTTTATACAATTTCTTGATGGCACACAACATAAGTAAAGCACAAAGAAACAGAGACGTGTTGAAAACTACTTCAAAATTTTTTCTTTAGTTTAATTTCAAGTGAGAAAAAGAAAGTTTTAAGCTCTCTTAAACAGCCATCTTTTAAATCAGCCGTTATCAAAACAACCATAGATAAATAAAAAATGATTAAACACTAAAACAAAATTATCAATAAAAACAAGGTTAAAACATTCTAAAAATAATCCTTATCTTATATCTCATTATTAAAAAAGAAAAACAAAACTAAACAAGAAAGTTGGATAGTAGCCCAATTTAATACCTAGCAATTTAAGTAAATACAGTAACCTTTTTTTTTTTTTAATTACAAAATGACCATTATCATTTAGATATAAGAGATTCACAGGTCTTCAAATGAAATGACGACCATGCAACATTTACAATTTTAAAACAATCATTTGAAAAAGTGTTGGTCAATTCACTGTTTTTCAATGTTCTATTATAATACAATTGGCTAAAAATGGAACATTGTTTAATTCTACATTCCAATCTGTGTGAGATGAATTCAATGTAATCAGAATAGAATTCATTAGGTCTGTGGCTATAAATTAAATGTCGTGGAAAAATTTATCAAAAAGTAAAATTGTTCTTTTTTTCTATTGATAAAAAGTTTGGAACACCTAAATTTCTGGTATATCTAAAAATTCCCAGTAAATTACTAAATTTGTATTTACTCAACACCCCACAAGGTCAAAGTAGATTACTAAATTTTTGCTTTCTTGTAATGAATTTGTGCCTGGTGTTTAATATGAGGAAGGTGTTTTCTTCATTTAGCAAAGACTGTGTTCCTTTCTCTCATAAAATGTTTTATTGTCTTCCACATACCAGTATGAACCTTGTTATATTGGACACACCTCATAGTGTTAATATTAGAAAGTCTGTTTGCATACAAAAAGTCATTTCTTTCTTTAAAAATCGACTGCACAATTTTTAATAAACAGCTGTACTCAAATTTTAAGCAACTTCTTCACTGCTGACAGTGTGACTTAAGCCATTCAAAAGACAACAAAAAATACTAAAATTGAACAAAAAAGAGTTGATATACATTATTTAATACTGTACTCAATAATTCTACTAAATCTACTAAATGTATTTCTTTTTGGTATCTTAGACCCAAACATACAACTATTTAAGCAATTTGAGTACTAATTCCTGTATAAAAATTAAGCAACTGAAGTACTAGTCAGAATCCAAAGTTCCTTATAAAAAAAAATTTTAAAAGAAATAATTGTATACTTTCTAACAAATTCTCCTAAAAAATAGTTTTAATAATTTATGCTTTAGCCAAATTGATGAAAAAACATCTGCAGTATTTTTTTCACTACTAATTAAAAACTCAGTCCTGGTGGGATCAGAAAAATTATAATGGGGAATATGGTGATTGACACATTATTTATCATCTTTCAGTTGCGTCTTTGTCTTTGGGTCGAATGTGCTCAGGAGCAGCTTCGCCAAATGACAAAGTAGCAACTGAGGAAAATTATACTGAGGGGAGCTCGGCCCTGGGGAACAGCAGAGAGAGTGATCAATGCTCGCACCGAGGCCAGTGCAACCGGATTTAAACTCTGGTTACCAATTCTAATTTCTAAATTGTTACCCATTACCAATTCACCTACACCTCCCATGGTACCATAATGATTGTATAAAATGATTCTAAACTATAAATATGGATTTTGCAATAAAAAGTAAAAGTATAAACTACAAACCCCCATTTAGCATAGACAGCATCAAGTTCATCAGGGTTGATGGTGGTGGGCAAACGCTGATACAGCTTGATAAGTCTGTTTGTCATGTCAGCACAAAAACGTGTATTCTCAATAAGGCAAGTAGCAGCAGATTTTTCTGGAAGACTAGCACACAACATCAGACCTTCACAAGCTTTAACAGCAACTCTCCCATCCTAGAAATGTGTAAAGAAAAAAAAAATGTATAAATTTTGTTTCAATAGAACATTAATTGTCCGTAATAAAGCATAAAGAAATTTTGCAAATATTCATCATTTTACCTTCAAATTTAATATCTTTTTTTTTCTGGTTCATTAATAAGCAAATGTTGATGAGAGTGAAAAATGAAAATTTGCAATAAAATATAAAGCCAACAAAATCTAGAAATATACAAATACATTGCGATTAATTTTAGTTAAGTAGTTTCTTCATCTGTTTTAGATCAACAAAGACAAAAGAGTTTTGATTGATTGATTGGATTCGTTTTCTATGGTTTATCAACCTTTTGCAGGTTATTTAAAGCCAGGTAATATTTTTAGGCAGTAAGAATTTTTTGAGAGGGATACCATACTTTTCCTAAGGGTATTTGTGTGTAAGTAAGTATAATGAACCCAACTGGAATTGAAACTTGGCTCTCAGATTAACAATTCCGAGCCATTATCCATTACACCATCTGCACATCCAAGCTTACAGCACCTAGTATTCCCAAGTAGCCACCCACCTAGGTACTGAACAGGCTTGATATTGTTTAACTTCAGTGATCGTATGGGGACTAGTATTTCAACGTGATCTGGCTATTAAGCCTAAATACAAAAGGAGTGTTTTCTTTCTTACAAAGGTGTAGTGAAGAAAAAAAAAAAAAGAAGCAGCATATATTTAATTTTTAATAATAATTTAAACCACATTTGTTATAATATTGGCAAAATTATCTTTATATGAACTACCATATTTGATGTCTTATAGGACCCCAAATATTAACAATTAATATTGCAGTATTATAGAGTTAGATATGGTATGAGTACTGGTGCAATACTGTGGACACCCACATAAAAAAAGGGAGATTTGGTTTTATCTCTACCTTAAATATTTCTGTTTGATAGCCAAAAGATGGTTCCTTTTGAAGTTCAGCCTTTTAAGTGTCATCCATTTTGACCAAAGGGGAACGAGAAAGTAAAGGAGTAGATAAGGTTTTATTTTTTTATTTTTTTTTTGAGATCATGCAACAACAAAGTGGACACTGATTATTTCCAAGTGCTGGTCTAGATTAACAGTCATGCTTGAAATTGGAGAGTTTGTTCTGATCCGCCTTTAGCAGGAGGTGGATCACATGATTCCAATGCTGTCAATTTGTATTGTCAGTTATGTGCCAGGTTGTTTAGATGTGCAAGGAATTAGTAGGGTGGAAGAGATCCACATAGAAGTTATCTAGTGTTACCTACACACCAGGTGAGCAGATGAAATCCTGAATAAATCATCTATTTTATAATACAGAAAACTGGGTATGTGTTATCATTACTTGATGTGGCGTTTGTCTTTCATTTTGTTAACTAGTGAGCATGCAGCAGGCCCTTTCCCAGCTTTTGGCACACGCCAACGAGAACCAAAATGTTACATGTGGTTATCATTAGCCAGTCAAAAAGCTTGGGTGAGGATCACATTGTATGTTTATACTGGTAGCCTACAGCATCTTGGTAAGCATCAGCCTTTTACAGAAAAGACCTGGAAGATATTTCAGGAGCTGTATCTTGGAAAGAAAAATGAGGAAAGGCTTTTTTTATATGTTACAAAATGTCATTTTCTTTGATAATGACCATATTTAAATTTGCATTGATTTTTAACTCTATTTCTTTTAATGAGAAGAAAAATACAATCCTTAAGCTAATAATTGTGAATGACAATGCGAGAATAAATAAGAACAAAAAAAAAAAAAAAAATCAAAACAAATATGTTCATTTGATCAGCCAAGCTTACAAGATTAAAATGAAATAGTAAGAAAAAATATGCAAAAGACATGCTTACCTCACTGGAACACATCGAAAGTAAAGAATTAACAATAGAAAATTCTAGGGAACGCTTTGGACTTTTGGGGCTCATCTGGGACAAAGGTGAAAGTTGTGGGTATCTGGGACTGTCAACATTCTTGGGAACCTTCAGGACAAAAAAAAAAAAAAAAAGGTTTATAGATTTCTTACTGTCAATGATGATGGCAATTTAATATGGATAAAGTAATAGAACCAAAACTTAAGTTTTATTCAACAAAGAATGTAACAACAAACATGACAGCCATTTATGTAGCATTCCAATAAGAAATAAAGCCATTCACTTCACATGAGAAAGCAGAGTGTAGTTTTGTCAGTCATGACACTTGTAATTCCACATGGATTGACCAAAAGTGTCATAGCAATACAAAAGAGTGCATAACCCATAATAAGCAAAATTACCACACTTTTCCCCATTAAATTATCAACATGAAATTATTAACTACTCCACTTTCTTTCTTTAAGATTCATAGTATCCATTTCAATTTTTGCAGTGTAGAATCTTTTCTCTGGAAACGGCCCCCAGTTATCTTTGTTCTTTGTAAAACCAACTGCTACTAATGAATTCTCCATTCCTCTTTGATGAAAAGATTCTAGCATAAGAGCAATAGATTCCTCTTCATTCTTCACTGTTTTATGATTGATATCATTATCTGGGGTATTCATGTTGTCAATTTCTGACTTTTTTTATTGTTCTCTCTTCTTAATGTTTTTTTCTCAGATTTTTTCACATTCAGTAAGGTCTAGTGGCTTTACCTCTTTTGCTTGGGGCGAAATGATTATTAATTAAAAAAAAAGGGGGGGAGAAGCTAAAATCACTAGGAGGCATTACAGCTACATTTAATGTCTAATGTATGATTCTGAACACTTGACCCTTTTCTAGAGTTCTTGCTTCATCAAAGGCAGTTGGTAAGATCAAGTTTTATTCTCAAGTAGTTGCTGCTGCTGAATGGTATTAGATATTAAACCACTTACAAAAGCACTTCTTATAACCTCTTCTTTACACTTTTCAGTACTGCTAACCCTGTAATTAGAGTTTTCACTCAGATGCTTTAAGTGCATGCAAATACTAATCCAATGTCACCCCAACTATTAAAAAATATCTTGTATACACCTAATTTTTAGGCTTCACATACAAATTTCATAGTGCATCAGAAGTTTTACCATAGCAATATAGTTTATACATCCAGATTGCCTGGAGACAGTTACAAAAGATTTCAAGGAAAATTGTTGAATATAGTATACCAAGTGTGACATACTTATGACATAAATATGATATTGTGAATCAAAATGGTGTTTGGTGACTATGGTTGTTGCTTTGTAGTGGGCTTTATCAGTTATGCCATTGCATTAGTCTTCACAGCTGTCTTCAGGCAAATATACCGAAGTCTATTTCCTACTAAAAGTCAAATCAACCATCTTTTCACCAGGAGAAAGGTTTTCTTATAATAATGATTAGCACAACACACATGATCTGTATTCATTACTTTTATTGTCTCCAGTAAGGAAATTTTTGCTTGTAAATGACAGAAAGATTATAGTGAGAGACTCCCCCAATCCTAGCATTGCAGACCCATACCTTTTGAGGTAAAGATTCTTGCTGAAGTATTTTGCAGGAAGAAACTTCATTTTTACCAGAAAATCATGCCTTCTTACTAACTGCCGGTACATCAATTAATGGGCACTGCCACACAACGTTTTTTCTTTTTTTTTTTTTTTGAGGTACTTGTTACTTAACTGGCTATCAAATATATCAAATATATTGTATTTCAGAAATACAATCTATTTTCAATGTGTGGTTATTTATTAGCTATTTTTTTTTTTCTTCTTAAACTTTAACCTTAAATTATTCTCTTCTATTTTATGCACAAAGTTGTTAGTTGAATCAGGACCGATTTCAAACATTTCTAGTCATAGTAGAATATAAATTAATTTCTTGGGTTTTATTCAACAAGTAACATTTTTTTTTAATATATATATGAATTCGCCCCAAGCAAGCCAACAATGTCACTAAAACACAAGGGGCTACTGGAAATGAAGGAGAATGAAAAGATTTTAGAAAGAACTGGAAAACTGATCATATGCAAGATGCAAGGAATAAACCTATATTCCTGTTCAAACGACCAGGGAAGTGCATGAACAGAGAGGATAGGAGAAAAAAATAATTAGCAAATAAAATTTCAGAGTTCAGAGACATATAGAGTTGAAGAAACAAAGTCCATGAACTTCACATAAGAAACTGCTATATATATATATACACATACATACACACACACATTTTGTTAGTCAAAATGTTAATGGAAATATCATTACAATATAGAAGAGTGCAAAACAATAAAAAAAATTACCTCAGATAGGTCAACATTTGGGATGAAAGTAACAAGTTAACAAAAAACATAAAAAGCACCATACACATGCTACACCACAGATAAAAAAAATAAAATAAAAAATAAAAAAAAATGAAAACTTAAATGGTTTCTTGGAGAAAAAAATTAGGACAATCCATAGAGTAAATAATAAAAACAGCAAATTTCATAAAGGTTAAAAAACATACAAAATAATTGCTTTCACACCAACTTTTTAGATTTTGTTTTTTTTAAGTCTTGTGATATATTAAAAAAAAGAATAAAATAAAAAGCTTTATTTAGAACATATAAGTAACTGCTAATATTTTACACTTTTTATCTGACTATTATTTCCAAACTTTGTTTAATTTTAGAAAAACAATTATATACCACTTCTCATCACTTGTTCATTTTTATTCTAATAAATAATTTTACAATTTAGAAATTTTATTAAAAAAAATTTGATAAAAAAAAATAATAATTTGAATTACATAAAAAATATACATTTCATATATTTTAACAAAGTATCTTAATTTTGAAAGTATAAAAATACATAGGCAGTGATGTATTGTCTGATATAAGTTAGAAGTGAGAACTTTAAAAATACCTACCTCAGTCACAAAGCAATCTTAAATAGAATCACATAATCACTTCATATTAAAGAGATAAAACTATGAAGTCTACTCCTCAAGTTTAACTTAAAAACTATATAAGTAAATAAACAGAAATAAAGTTTATTACAATTTACTATTGAGTCTCTATTTTTTAATTTTTAGCATTTTATTTATAAAAATTGGGTGGTTTAAAATAGTTATCAACCAGTAATACATTGGTTAAAGTTTTTGCCTTAAAAGCAAAAATATGTCTTTATTATTATTATTATTATATAATTCCTTTTTTCCTTCCTTTAGGTGGCATGTGTGATGCACACGTAGGTGATCAGGTCTCTTTTCGATTCATGACTAACTAGGCAGAAGTATTCCTACAGAAGGTTGTCATTAATTTCTGTGGTAGACTGGTTGCCAAGCTATAGGCCTCAGTCTGCCCTGCTATTTAATGAGTTCATAGCTTTCCCAAGAGTATTTGCACTTAAGTGAATGTAATGAACTCTACTGAAATTTGAACAGATATTTAAACTGTTGTACCTGTTTGATTTTGGTATCTCCAATTTGTAATTTGCATGTTGGGCTGTTCTTTTAGCTAACAACCATGCATTCTCACTTATTACAATTGATGTTTAGTCCTTTCTTTTCACTTTCCTTCACAAAGTCCAAATTTATTTAAACCTTATAAAAATGAAAAATACTACATAATATTGACATGTTTTTAATTACTCAGGCCATAATTTTTCAACAAATCACAAATGAAATTTAATTTTTGATACTGAAAATTATATCTTTTAGAAATTCACAATTTAAAAACCTGTATGAATCACCGAAAGTGTTGTTACATTGCAAAAGCAGTTTCAAATTATGAAACAATTCTGACTTTAAATTTTGTGCATGAAATTTCATTTTGGAATTTACAATAACTTTACATTTAACTGCAAGTAACTAACTGATAAACAGGAAATAGTTAAAAAATGTGTGTTCATATTTAGCATGAAAGAGAAAATCAATCTGCAACCAACAACTGGGCCAGAGCATGTGAAGTTTTCAGTGTGACATCTGCTACAAGATGAAATGTAAATTAACACCAAATCTTTCTTATAATCAACTTATCCAACACAAACAGTTTTATTGTCCTAAGCTGTTTATATTACCTAAGCAGTAGTTTATCTTTAACTTGATCAATCTTGTTGAAGTTTTTATTTTATTGAAAGGATCTTCAAAATAATTGTTTTCATGCTACCTGAACCCAAATGTCCCAAAATATTCAGAAGTTGACAATAAAAACCTGTAAAGAATCTGTATGAATCCTAGTCCACAACAAGAGGTAACCAAATATATCTTATTTCTTTCTTTCTTTAAACATTGTACTGTTTTATGATGATATCTATGAGGTTAAATGTTCACTATATTCTATGTAAATGAGAAAATAATAAAAGCAAACTTACCTCAAGGAAAAAGTTAACCAAATAAGGATCCGATTTGATTTTAGCACACAAAGTACAGAGGAACTGGATTTCTTCATTCTCACAAGGACCTGACTTGACTTCTCCACATATCCGAACAAGACGCTGTGGAAGAAAAGAAGAGTTTTCATCATATTTGTTTATTTAACCTTCAGCACTTTGCATTATTAATATTACTTTCCACTGAATACTTTTTCAAGGGCTCAATTGCAGTATCCTTATTGTTAATTTCACTCAAAGTTGTTTGCTGTTGCCATAGCAGGATATAACAACACAACTATCAAATTCAAACACACTATTCTTCAGGGATCAGAGTCACCTTCAATGGCAGTGTAAACTTTTTGCACAGTAAATGAAGTCACAGAAACGAAATTTCCTTTTTTTTTTCTCACTATTAAAATAAGTACCGTATATACTCATAAGTACCGTATATACTCATACATAAGCAGAGCCCATTTATGGTGCAACCACAAGTTTTTTTTGCATGAATTTTAACCCCTCCAGAAAAAAAAATTTACCTGTATATAGTTTAACCAGTCACCCAAAACATGATTTTTAACCTTTTCAAAAAAATTACCTATATATAGTGCAACCCCCTATTGTTTCTTTTTTTCTGTAAAAAAACAAACTGATAAAAACTCATTATATTCGAGTATATATGGTATGTTGCATTTTAAAGTATGTTAGCAATTAAAATACCAACTCAAAAGTTTTGCAGCTTTAGAAAACTACAACTACTTAACTGGGGGCAAGGAATGACTTGTTAATTCTAACACCCTAAAATGAAACTGATCTCTCTTAATTGTCTGAGAGAACTCTTTTTGTCTCCAATCAGCATGGCTGATGCTAACCTCAAGGAGAGTAACTCATTGCACCTTCTAAGGCTATCATTTTCTGCCGATATGAAATCGAAATATTATAATGAATCTGTTGCTAGGAAAGTTGGTTCACTGTGTCATGCTAGACAATTTTTCTCACCAGAATTTATCTTACACATTTATTAGTCTACCATTCGTCCATACATTAAATGTTGCTTTCACATGTGGTCTGGTGCTTCTGCAATGTATTTAGAGTTTCTTGATAAAATAAAAAGAAGAATTTGCAATGTTATTGGTCCTGACCCGACATCCCAGCTTCAGTCACTTTCCCACCACCATAACGTGGCTTCTCTGTGCTTTTCTATAAATATTTTCATGGTAATTGTTCTGAAAAACTTCCCTCTATAGTAACTAAACTTTATGAATTTAAACGCAGTACTAGATTGGTAGCAAAGTCTCATCATTTTACAGTTGAAATGGCTAGATGTAACTGTAAGTTCAATACTAACAATTTTTCTTACACTTCTCATTTTTGCAACTTTCTTCTGGGTTCTTGTTTTTCAGTCAAGTTTGATCTTCAAAAATTTAAATGCAATGTCAATTGTTATTTTCATATTCTCCCATACTCAGTAATCCCCCTTGAGTCTTAGTGACTTTATTGCCTTGCTTGGAGAAAATGATTAAAAAAGAAAAAAAAAATTCAGATTATATTCTGAATCAGTCAATCATAAAATCTCTTCAGTTATAGACCTTCTCCCAAGTTGTTTTTTTTCTATATGTCGTGTCCCTTCAGGAGGCTTGATATCATGGTTCTCTACAATTTCCAGTCCTTTGTAGCACTTAGTAAATTTTGTCATTTTGTTATTTTTCCTAAACCCTGTTCTGAATTCCATTTACAAAAGCTTATGAGATACATTATGTGCTGTTCTCCTCTGTCCCTCTTGCCTTCAATATGTCTTGTACTGTGAGTGTCAAATTCCTTTCCTCATTATGATGTTAAGTATAAGTATTTTCTCTAAACACTTTGTTTCTGCTCACATGTTCAGCCCATGATATTCTCAACATCCTTCTGTAGAACCACATTTCTATCATCTCAAGTTTCATATTCATTTGCGAGAAAATGGTTCAGTATTCCCTGCCATATAAAAGGAGTGATATTGCATAACAGTTCAGTACTCTTTTCTTTGTTTTAATGCAATTTTCCTGTTTCTTAATACTTTGCTTAACTTTTTGAAGAAACAATTACATTTCTCTGTTGTCAAGAAAGATTGTTTTTTTTAAGTGTCTCAATGCACATCCACAGTTTCTGCTTAAATTAAGCATGAAAAAAAAAAAAAAAAAAACACAGCCACAAGGGTGGAGTCCCAAGTAGGGCTTGTAGTATGTTTGATCGTCACCTATTGCTACACTTAAATGGCCTTGTGTCATGCAAACCTTAGCAAATGGAAAAGAAAAATGTAGAAATAAGCCTCAACTACAAGTTGTCATATGTTTATACCTATCTGATATAGTGAGAAGCTAGGAAGTTGGCCCACCAGTTAAAAAGAATGGAAAATTAAATCAGTATTCCAAGTTCAAATTCTGATTGAAGTAGTTTGAATCTGTTTTGCACTAATGCTCTTGAGGTAAGCATAAATCCACTTGTCCCAAGAAATCAGAGATTACTTTCCAGCTGATACCATGTAGCCCAAGACAGCTTGTCATATGTAACTTTGGATAGGCGATGCCAAATCCTACACATTCCTCTGAGAAATGTTATGACAGACACAGCAGGGTACTGATGATCTACTACAATGTCAGATAATTATTTTTTTTTTAAATTTATTTCTTAGGTCATGTAATAAGAATTCTGAAAATATAATGGATTGAATATACACATAATAAAGAAGTTTTAGGGAAAATGGTAACAAAAAAGACACTTAGAATCAGAAAGAGAGAACTGAAATTTCTAGAGCACATAATGAGGAAAGAGGACTTAGAAAATTTGATACTTACAGGATATATTGAAGGCAAGAGGGATCATGAAGAGCAGCAAATAAGCTAATAAGCTTGTGTAAATTGTTGGAAGAACATGGATTAGGAGAGATAACAAAAAGACAAAGCTTACTAAGAGTTACAAAAGAGAGGAAATTGTGGAGAGCCATGATCCCCTATGTCCTGTAATAAATGTAATGAGATTTTAAAATTATTTTGTAATTTTGACTTACCTGGACAGCTCTGTGTACATTGATATGTGGAAGTAAGGGTTGTTTGATGCGAGTTAAAAGACGAGTGAAGAAACACAGTACAACTTGTTTCATTCCAGGGGGACTCTAAACAAAAAAAAAAAAAAAAAGGGTTTCAGCATTTAAAAAAAAAAAAAATAAATTGATTTTTTTTTTTTTTTCAAAAATAAACCCTGAAATGAGAAATATGAGAATGGCAAGTGGAAGAAGAGACTCATTTTTTGATGAATCAAGAGAAGGAATTATTTATACTATTTACATTTGTTCAGACTTTTATTCTCATCTTCATTGCCATATTCATGACATTTCGGCCATGATACGCTCCAGTCTCCCTCAGGTGATTGGAATTTCGAACTGAGCCCTTTATTTCATCCACCAGGATAGATTGTTCTAGTTCCATGTCTCTTCCATTATTTCCCTTTATCTCAACTTTTTGTTCACCTCTGTTGTAGCCAGTTACAGAATTCACTCTTCAAGTGGATTCAACTAACATTTTTATTCACTGAGCCATGTGAACAAAGATGAGGATAAAAGTCTGAACAATGTAAATAATTACAAAACCTCATCTCAGAAATATAGACAGAGAAAGAAGAAAACAATAAAATAAATATTCTTTTCAAACCACTTTTTCTTTTAGAAGTTCTTTTGGCATCAATAATTTGTTAGTCATTGTTGAAGCTCAGGAAAACATAAGATTATCAAAACTTATTAAAAATACAACAATGAACACAAGTTCACTATGATAAAATGCCATTTTTATGTATGTAATATGTTATATACCATGTACGAAAAATTTGCCTAAAATTACTTTTTTTTGAGTTTCTTATATTAATTGAATTTTTATATAATCATGTGAAATTTTCAGAATAATTTTGTTCTCTGTAATTCTTCTTTTTGGCTTTTTTTTTTTTTAATTAAATATTCAAAAGTGTCTAAAATTTTAAAACAATTTTTTGCAATTTAATATACTTTTATGAATATAAAACACATTACAAATCTTTTAGTAAGGTACCAACATTAAGAAATAAATTGAATTTCAATGAGTTATAAATTCTTAATCCTTTAAAAATTCAACAAAACAAAATTATTTTAACATTTTCAAAATCACATAAAACAGCAAAATTTTAAATGTATTAATTTTTTTTTAAAAGAGTAAAAATTTTGAAAGGTGCTAGTTATTTTGCAAATTAGTGACTGATAAAAAAATGCTTTACTCTAAGTGAAAACTGTTAAGTAGGAAGCAAACATTGTTATGTTATTTAAATAGGAAAATGAAAAGAAAATGCAAAATAATATATATACATATATTGAGACATGTTTCATTGAATAATTTAGACAAGTTTTGTCTACTTATTTTCACTTGAATCCTTTCATATTCATAGACAAGATTTTTGGTGTCATTATTAAAGGAAGAGAGAAAATTACTGTGCTGATACATATTATTTTATTCCAAGTACTTTCAACATAGCACAATTACATCATCCGGGTGTTATTTATCTCAAGACAAATATAGTAGAGTTCATCATTTCCAAAAACAAAATTGCTGTGTTCATCTGAAAGTTGTCTAAATTATTCGATGAAACATGTCCCAATGAAAACATGCTGCCAAAATATTATATATATATATATATATATATATATATATATATACACACACAAACAAACACAGGGTGTGATGGATAAATTGCCATCTAAATTATGCAAAATAACACAAACATCTCATTTAGACAGAGTTATTTACTAAAATTACACAAAAATATCTTGAAATACTAAAGAGTAAATTTATTCAATAAAATCACCACTGGCTTCAACCATGGCCTCTAGGTGACTTTGGAAACTCTTGTAACTCTTCTGGATGGTCTTCTTATTTAAGTTTGTGAATGCTGCCGTAATCCTTGCCTTCAGTTACAAGGAGTTTTGTTGGTCTCTCCCTCAACAGCGCCCCACACATAATAATCAAGGGGATTGCAGTAGGAGAGTTAGGTAGCCAGATGTAAGGGATGATGTAGTCCCAGACATTGTCTAACAACCATGACTGGGTTCTCCTGCTTGTGTGGCATGGTGCAGTGTCCTGTTGCCAAATATAGGGTCTTCCAGCAGCCACCCTCTTGACCCAGGGAGGCACTACCTCCTCAAGGTACTTGATGAACACTTCAAACACCTTCATAATCACCATTAGACTCATCTCTTCCCAAATCATCTGCACTGTACTCATAGTGACACCCAAACACTCTGACATGTTCATATTGGAGCTTCCAGCATGAATGCCATGCAGTAAGCATGCAATTTCAAAACTTCTGACAGAGTGAATTGCATCAGGGTGCTCTTTTTCTCATAGACAGTACCCAACTAACTCTACTGTGCAGTCAAGAAAAATCAAAAATCAACACACTTGCACAAAATATAAAAATGGTGACAGTTTACCCATTTCCCACTGTGTATATATATATATATATATAATAAAATGTAATAAGTTAAACAGTCTTACATCATTCTTTCCCAGAGTGTAAAGTGTTTCAAGCAGTTTATGGTGAAGCATGTATTCCATGCAAGGCCCTGTACTGCCAGATTCACAAGAAATTTCCTCTTGCTGTAAAATAGCTAACATTTGTTCCAGATGAGCAGGTAGGTTAGTTTGATCAACAGGTAACTTCTCCTCTGAAACAAAAAAATGAGAAAACACCTGAATAAATAAGCAAATATGAATTAATGAGGCAACAGTGGCAATGAAAGAACAACAAAATATTTGTTAAGTTGATAATTTATTCATTCATAAAACTCAAACCAGCTGTTATTCAACTATTTGCTGATTTTTCTTGGTTCATTACTAATTTAAATGCTCATTATTCAATTATGATCAAAAACTCCATTACCAACAGAATAGTGACACACAAGTTATAAAAGACAACAAATGCTCAAGATTACAGAGAAAACCTTTTTCTCCAAATCACCAAAGAAGCAGCAACAATACAAGGCGATAATATGTAAGGATTTTCTTCTCTGTGCTGTGCCCTTTCAGGATATTGGTGATCAAAACTCCCCACAATTTCCTTTCTTTTCCTTAATAAATTTTGTTTTTGCCATCTCTCCCAAAACCTGTTCCACCATCCATTCACTCAAGTGTGCCAAGTAGGTTGTGTGTTGCTTTCATCTGTCTCCCTTAACATTATATCCAGTGAGTATCAAATTTTCCAAGCTCTCCTTCCTCATTATGTGCTCCAGAAATTTCAGCTGTCTCTTCTTGATGTTAAGTACAAGTGTCCTTTTTGTTGCTATTGTCTCCAGGACTTCCTTGTTGCTCACATGTTCAGTCCATGGTATTCTCAGCATCATTCTGTAGAACTATATTTCTGTTGCTTCAAGCATCTTCTTCATTTGTGAGATTTTCCAGCATTCATTGCCATATAGAAGGACTAATACCATATGTAAGGATACCTGCCAATCATTTTAAAAAGCATTCTTAACAATCCAAGACTTGCTCAGTCTATTTAATTTATTTTATATACTGCTTTCATCAATACAAAATTTTGGCTGATCCATTCTACAGCCTCTCTTAGATGAACAAAAATTTAAGGAGGTTTTTTTTTTTCCCAGTGGTGTTAAAAAGAAAGAAAAAAGAATGGTGGCAAATATACAAACTGGTTTGGCTAATTTTTCAGATGATTTGTTCTCTTATAATTCATATATAAGCGAGTAAAAAATACAATATTAATTTTGCATAAAATTGACTTTAACATTCCATTCTTACAAGCATTAAATTTATTAAACAAAAGAAAATATCTATCGTTCACAATTCTTAGTCTACCACTTCGTCCCCAGCCCCTCAATCTCCGGCATTTTCCTCTCTGGGTTGAGGTGTCCACTCGGTCCGAACTGAACTTAGGGGTAACTGGCCGTACACTCCCTGAGTACCCATAGATTATTTTGACCAGTCAACTGGTCAAGTCCTGCTTGCTGCCCACGCTGTGTTAGTTTTTAGATCCAGTAAGCGGGGTGTTGTCCATATGTTCACGGTCGACTGGGGGTGTGGACACAGCTGTGAGAGTTGGCGGTAGGAAGTTTAGAATGTGGCAAAATAAAACAAGAAATAATATCTGCAGAAGCCAGACAACAATGGGGGAAATATTGACGTCTTTTATATAAGAAGATAACATCAGAACAGAGGTTACAGGGAGAATAAAAACATTTAACATAAATGAGAAAAGAAAAAGACAATGCATCAAGCGAAATCCCAACGGAGAGAGGTTTTGTGTGCAATAAACGCTTATTGAATCGCCTGGGGTAGGTTTATGACTAGTAGTCCAGTCTCATGCAGACTTCTAAGAACAGGGGGCAGTCTTCCTTCTCTAATTCTCCTGCAAATCTCTCGTGACTCTTTCGACGACAGTCTCGTTTCCGGACTCTCTCTCCCGTCTTTTTGTAGCATCGCGACCTGTAATGGTCACCTGCAAGGTGTTCGCGCACGTGACGACGATGTGCCGACCGATTGCGGTCTCTCCCACCTGCTGCTTCTTCAGCATAACTACACTGGTTTATATAGATAAATCTGTTTGATCATGAATTGACCCTTGGCCCGGTATGTGATTATCATCAGTGCCAAAACTATTCCTTGACATGTAAACCAATTCTCCAATTATTTACCACGAGTTCTTCTCGCTTCACCAAAATTATACTTTGGGATATCTAAACATTGATTCAATCTTTTAATCAAAACAAATACTGTTAAACAAAACCAAATATCTCGTAGCCTGAGTAAGCTCTATTTCAATTTTTAACTGATAAATTTTATAAAGCTTATACGGAGTCCCTCATCTGGCAGGGTTGGGGGGTTATCAGGGTCTGGGTCAGTTACCTTCCACTCTTAGCATTAATCTTTTTCTAAAATTCTATATTTTCAAAATGTTTACTCGAGTGATTTTCCAAATTTATGAGTTGTCCAGGCCCCCTTTGAGAATGGTCAGAGGAATCAATCATGTCACATTTCACACCACTGCTCCATATAGGTGGTGCCTCTCTCTCTCTCTCTCTCTCTCTCTCTCAGCATTTAACCTCAGCCCACTCCAAGGACTGATACACCGTCCCTGTGACGAATGCAAACTTTCAGAATGCATAGATGAAAAGGAGATTTCCAGTTATTAATCTTTCTTTATCAGCTTGTTTCACACTGGTTGTTTTTAGTATGATTTCTTGATTGGCCAAGCCACACTGCTGCCTATGGTCACTCCAGGACTAGTAATTTTTTTTTTTTTTTTTTTCTTTCTTTCTTTCTTTATCACTTGTAGTCAAAGGAATCTTAATTGATGTCAGCTATAAAATTTTTGACAAATGCCATAGAAATTAAAATGAACAAAATCATCAGGCTTATTTTTATTTTTGTAGGGATTTTTTTTCTTCTGGGTGGCTTCTTCAGATGTTTTTCCTGGTTCTTTGTCCAGAATGATCTTTAAATGTTATTTCAGTGACCACTTGGGTTTCTTTATTGACATGTTTTTTGTTTTTTGTATTTGGCATCTTCGTATATACATTATATCTTTCTTATCAGTGGGAAGTGAGGAAGGATGGGTAGCCTTGGTTTTGCTCAATGTTACTGAATTTCATCGAGTTAAACTTGGAACTGTTCAGGATTTCATTTTTTATTTTGAAACATGATTTTTCAATGCATTTTTAGCATTTTCTCAACTTTTCAATCCAGCTTCATGCAAATTTCAGACTCTTTACTCTTCCCTTATTTTGCTTGATTAACCCCCCTGGGGTCCCAGTGTCATTATAAAAACAGAACATACTGGAGTGACAACACCAACCAGGTCCTCTTCAGCTTGGGCGATATCTTTCCCCTTAGTAACTGAATATTTTCACACACACGCATGTATGTATGAACCACATGATTCCTAATGTTTTCCTTCTTTTGCATGCATACTTGTATATTGCCTCATTTTTTTTTTTTTTTTTTTTACTCTGTTGCATAAAAGCCAAAATCTAAAATGTTGCATTGTTGAAATTCATTCCATTTCCTTATATCCATTATTTAGTCTATCTAAGAGTAGTGCTGCAACACTGTGGAAATGAACACATAAGCAGTTAATAGCTTATATATATATATATATATATCACTAGAGAGAATCACCATTCTCCAACATTGTGGACTGGTGCTACAGAATCACAAAGAATGAACTGTATGAAATAACAGAAACCACATAACTTGAGGACAGTAGTGACAATTAAAATTGATAGCACATGTAACTCTAAGAGAAAAATAATGACAATCAAAATGTTGACATTCAACACTATTTTGAACAAAGAGTTAGGAAAGAAGCCCCCATCAATACTGGAAAAAGCAATAACTGTTAAAGGATTTGAGAAACCTATTGTACTGAAAAATTGTTTTCATAGAAAGATTTTATAAATTTCAACCAAAAATATCACTGGCTATTTGATCAATGAACACTGAATGTTTCCAAATAAGGAAACATAATTACACACACATATATATATATATATATATATATATATATATATATATATATATATATATATATATATATATATAAGTAATATACTTTTTAATAGAGTGCATTGATATTATACTGATCTTCAGGAAAAATGCCAGAAAAGCAACGCTGATCCTAAGTGAAGGGCACAGATCCTCTGCGAACGTTCCAATAATCTCGTTTTTTTTATGACTGCTAGTACTTAAAGAAAAAAATGGATAATTGATTTGCAACAGACCAGCATGAAAAAACTTTGCCCCATAACTAAGAATAATTAACTGATAAGAAATATTCCCCCATGTCTGGCATGAATTCACAAGTGAGAGCAATCTAGTTTTAATTAAATAAAGAGTTTGGTTCAATTTCTCATATTATCAAATATAATAGACCATTGAAGACAATCAGGGGATACAACAGTCAAAATACTTTCCATATAACAATCAAGAGAATTACACTAGTCCAAATACATCAATGTATAATAGTAAAAGCATATAGGAACACCTTTATAGTGAATTTATTTTGAAAATAAAACTTTACTAAAAAAATATATATATATATATATATATATATATATATATATATATATATATATATATATATATATATATATATATATATATACATAATTAAGCATTAAAAAGTCAAATATATTGCCTAGTCTCTGAGCTTAATTTGGGCCAGTTGCTGGGAAAAAAAATCATTACTAGCCAATAAAAAATGTGTATTTTTTTTATGTTACAATGTTATAATGCAAAGATTTTAAGTGTTAAAGAAAACCTGATCTATGCCTATTCTTCAGTTACGGAGTAAGAAAATATTGAATGAAATATCAGTATCAATTGAAGACAATTTTTCCTGTTAAAAACAAAAAAGAAACATTAAAATTACTGCGAACAACTATAGCTGTACTAAAATTGGTAAATCTAAAGAGTTTAGAATTACTAAAATTTTGGGAGATAAATTTGAAATTAAATTTGAGTTCATAAAAAAGGGCATCATGCAAAAATTGCATCATTACGTTGAAAATTTGTAAGTAAAATTATAATATTAGAACTGATGCATGACACGACTTGTGTTATCCACAGGCTGTTCTGAGTAAGTCTCCTTCAGTAGATTTGTCAAGTATTATATTATTTTAGGGGATCTTATAGATTAACTGGCTAATATTGTATGCATTAGAGGACAACATCAAGAGGACTGAAGGCAACACTCATCTTAGTTCGACAAAACATATTTGCAACGAGGGGTCTACAACAGAAGATTTATCTTTTATAAAAGGCATGGAAATAAAAATGACTTCATTGAGAATTAGTGTTTAGCATTATTTAAATCTATAGGAAAATAAAAAATTGTTACAAAATACTATTTCTACAATACTGTTCATTCTTTCAATCTATCTATATATAAAATTCTGTGATTTGCATTTGTTTGTTCATCACACCCTTTAAATTAGCCACACATTGACAGATCAAAACCAAATTTTGTGTAGAAGTGTAAACAGGTAAGGTGGGTACAAAGTACAGTTGATTTTACTAGGGTGTATAGCTTAGTACAATAAATTTTCATTCATTTTTTTTTGCGGTGGGGATTAAGTTTTATTATTTAACATACAAAATACTCCCATTATTTTAAAAACAATTTAATGATTAACAAATACTTATTTAATAAAAATGCATTATTATTTTTTGCATTTCTTTTTAAGTTTATATACAAGAATCCAGTTTCCAATCTGCCCTGCATTTGCAAAAACTATAAACAAAATCACCAGGCCAAATGCTTCAAAAAGTTGGAATTTGGCTCCAGAAAGAAATATTTATGCATGGCCAATTGTATGTTGCATGTTCAAGAGTAAGAAATCCTAGGAATTTATTCTTTATTGTTAAAAAGGAAAAAAATAAATTTTCTTAAAAAAATATTATTTACCATGAAGTCCTATAAAATTAAAGAAATTATTAAACAACGAAGATTTTTGTCAAAATATTTTCAAAACAAATCAACTTATTCAAATTTTATCAATTGGTTTGCAAAATTGAATGAAAAGTAGAGTTTGTAAATCTCAACAAAAAATGTTAGTGATAACTTCAACAATACTGTAAGGATTTCAACACATCAGTGTGTTGCAAAAAATTCTAGTAAAATAAAAAAAAGAAAACATTTTTAAAAAACAAGAAAACATAAAAATTGTTACATGATGAATGTAAAATGTATTTGATAAAAAAAAACTCAAACCAACACCAAAATATTTAGATTACATTCTTACAAGTTATAAAAAATAAAGCTAAATGAATTCAGGTTAAGAAGTAGTGGTTAACAAGCTAGTTCCCCAGAACATTTACTACTATACTGAGCTCCTAACTAGATGCTGCATAATTTTAGCCTTCTACAAGAATAAGCTATATTAGATAACTAAACTGTGCTTAAAATGAAGGAGAAATATGAAGCTTGATATGGTCTTCAGTCAACCACTTAAAGAATGTTGACAAAAGAGAAAAAAAAATAAAAGAAAAATGAAGGCTAACAATTTATTTCAATGCCATTTCTATAATAAAAAAGAAGATATTTAAAATACATTTGGCTGGGATGAAAATACTACTGCTTACACTGTCAACAGGGAGTTCATAGAGGTCATAATACTTATAGAATATAAACAAGAACGTCATATACTTCCATGCCAGCAACACAATAATCAAGTCAGTACTTAGCATAATAGGCAGTGGAATAAAGAACAGAAACAATAACACTCAAGTATGTGTACACTGATGAAAACAGGACAAGAGGCTGGTGTTCTCAAGTAACATATAAACACTGCTTCAGGAGATAAATCTAATTGTAAACAGCTTAGTTTGCAAAAAGTTTTAGAAGGAAACTGCAGCACCATTCACCAGTAGCCTCTGTAGTCAGCCAGACAAGTAAGCATCAGTTATTTCTGCCTTCAAGAAGCTAAACCAGAAATAATTGTAGAACAATAGAACTATGTCAATTAACACATTGACCACTGAAACACGTTGGAAAATAGGCAAATATTTTCTGCATCTGAGCTTTGGGTAACTCTACAATACAGTGGTCTGTACTCATAGCTACCTAATATACAAGCATTTAAAATGAATAATTATGATTCACCAATATTTGTACATGTGAAACCTGCCCACCCAAAATAAAGTTTAAAAAATTGAGAATATATATATATATATATATATATATATATATATATATATATATATATATATATGTGTGTGTGTGTGTGTGTAGACACGTGTTTGTAAATATCAATTATGTAATCACAGTTTCAAATTTGACATTTGTAAATAACAATTAAGTTCAATAAAAATCAAGGATCCATTTTATACTATATTTTGAACAGAACCACCCTTCAGATTAAAAAAAAAAATTCATATTTTTTTCATTTCTCACAAAATGTCAACCTTGAAGAAAATCTAATGAATACTAATCTACAAAAATTATCCCTACCCGTATGTTTCCCTATTTCTTTTTTTTTTTTTTTAATGATTAGACCAGTCTAATTAGTGCAATGCTTCTATGGAGATAAAGATGAAACATTCTAAGAGAAAATAATGACATGTTGACACTCCACACTACTTCAAACAAAAGGTTAGGAAGGAAACCCCCACCAATAGTGGAAAGAGCAAAAACAGTTAATGGACTTGAGAAATTTGTTTTAAGAGAAACATTTTAGAAGTTTCAACCGACAATAGCACTAGCTGCTCGGTCAATGAATAACAAATGTTTCCTTATAACAAAATGGCTAATGTTACCATCGGCACTAAAATTAGTGTTAATTTCTTCCCCACCCATTCCAATATATTTACACTATCAGATTAATGTTTCACCACTAAAACTGATATTAACCAACTGATGTTGGCAACATTTTCATGTCTACTTATATTTATATGATAAATATACCAAGTGAATTTCTGTTTACAATAACTTATTTGGTAGATTGGAATTTTTATTTTACAGTTTAAGGGTTGTTCATCATATTGTAAATAAAAATAATTAATACTATAGTTATTGATATTTACTTTTCAATTTCTAATAAATATACTGACATAGGCCACAAAACAGATAAAATTGCAAAAGTGAAACAAGACATTGTAAAGTTAATGGACACACAACATTGGGTATTATGAAAATGTTGGAAAAAGATCAAATATCAATCAAAAAAAAAAAAAACATGGCAGGAAAAAGAAAAACACTAATATAAATATACCACAAAAAGAGATTGGAGAAAAATTAAAATGGCTATAAACAAGAAAAGCCAATTAACCAGCAAGAAAATATTTGAAGTATCATTTGTTGTGAATGTAAGCAAAGAGAAAAGCAGTAAATTAAGAACATTAGCTAAAGACATAAAAACAATCAGATTACCACCTTTAATTAAACAATGTGAAAAGAAATATGCACAAAGATGTAGATAAAACTGATTTCTCAATAATAATTTTAATGATGAATGAAGAGCTACATTGGATGAACCTGATAAGTGGATTTGAGATTAAGTCCTTCATGGAAATAGAAAACAAACACAATTTGGAAGACAACAGGGGAGAAAAAAGTGTAACATTTGAGATTATTATCATTGGCAGCAAAATTATCTAAGCCTTCCAAGTTGATGGTGGTTCAAGATAAAAGCAAGTTCTTTGACACAAGACAACTCTGGGGGTGATAGATGGCACAAGAAACTAGGCTAAGGAGCATACTAATGGAAAATATTCCTTAATCTGCAAAGTTAACAAGTGTTTATTTTGAACAAAAAGTACAAAAAAAAAAAAACAAAAAAAAAAAAAAACATGGACACACTAAACTCCCAGCATCTAGATATAAAACAATATTCAAGTGAAGAAAATCTGAGAGGCAATAAAGACAGATTCAAATAATGTTAATATTAAAATAGTTGAAAAGTTTAAAATTTAATGATGAGAGACTGATGAAGGTTATAGAATGTCAAGACTGAATATTAACATGTAAAATAGTTTATGCAGGTATATGGGATATTGTGTTAAATTCTAAGGTTTCTATAGTCTATATCTTTTTTTTATTTATTTATGAATAACATAACAGTATTGCAGCTTGCATAATAAAAATCTGATCAGATTTTTATTATGCAGACTGCAATGTATTAATAAGGATAGATATTACAAGCTGAAAATTTAGGTCTGTATCACTGAGATGAGGTATTATGATTATTTATATTATTCGGACTGTTATCCTCATCTTCGTTGACATATTCACAATGTTTCAGTCACTGTACACTCCAGCCTTATTCAGGTAATTGGAATTTCAAACTAAACCCTTTGGCTCAGTGGATAAAGACATCGGTTAGATCCAGTGACTAGACTCAAAGAGTTGTGAGTTCAATACCAGGCTACAGCAGTGGTGAAAAAAAAAAAAAAAAAAAAAACTTGGATAGTTAAGTTAGAGAGAAATAACAGAGACATCCAAAAGAGGCATGGCACATGGAACTAGAACAATTTACCCTAGTGGATGAAATAAAGGGTTTGGTTCAAAATTCCAGTCATCTGAAGAAGGCCGAAGCGTACAATGGCCAAAATGTTGTGAACATGGCGATGAAGAAGAGATAACAGTTTGAATAATGTAAATGAAAATTTAGAATATACTGTTCATGTAAATATTTACAGAAAATTTCAAGAAAACATTGATCTGCAAATAAAATCTTATATAATCATATATATAAATCTTATATATCATATATATAAATCTTATATATCATATATATAAATTTTTGTATAGATGAAAAGTGATTATTGAGAAAATTTATCAAAAGAATTCATTACCTTTGTTGTCAATGAAGTAGTTTGTGATTGCTTTCCAATGATGTACAAACTCTTCCTGCAGGCTAAGGTTGGGTGCAATCTGCAGAAAAAAATAAACATAAAAAAGAATTATTTAATGTAACATCAGTGTTATAATAATAATAATTCTTTAATCTTTTAATTGGCAGTTTCCTAAAAGAAAATGACAAAGTATGAATGTAAAGCAGAAATGTAAAAAATAAAACCTTCAAGTTTCTGTCTCAATTTCTGGGATAAAGAGTTATTATTTTACATTATTTCCACTTATACTATTATCCTCATCTTTGTTATAGTCCATCCTCTTTAACCTGGCACTCTGTGGTCATGCACTTAATTTTTGAATCAGACACTATTAGTTCAATGAGAAGCTATGAAGGCAATACCACATGTTTACAACTTTCTGCAGCAACCAACATCAGCAGAGTGTTTTGGTGATACAGTCTTTCTCATTTCTTATATATAGCTGAATATTTATCCATTCAGAATAGTAAATTTATATTATTTTAAGCTTTTCTTTTAACCTTTGTATTTGATGAAACAATAAAAACTTTGTTTGGAAGCATAAATGATTATTTTATTTCCTGTTTTAAGCTTTGTTCTACCTTTGATGATACAGCAGTATATATGTGGAATGAGTTAGCAATATGTTTACATAGGGTTGTTTTTTTTTTTTTTGAGGGGTCATTTCAGTCATCTGGTTCAGCAGTGGCTCAGTCCCAAGAGTTCCAGGTTAAAGAGGTTAGACTGTATGGGTATTAACATCCCAATATTTTGGACATTGTACTTTCCAGGCTTCTTAGGTATCTATCAATGCAGGTAACCTTGAGGGAATTTCAAACTGAAATTCCCCCTTAATTTAATCTACAAAAGGTAAATTATTCTCATTGCCCCACCCATGTTCCAGGTGTATCTTGTCTAGTTCTTATTTTAGTACTGCTCAATTATTGCTTGCCTCAATTTACCTTAGTCTAACCCTAGACAGGACAATAGCCTAGTACATTAAAGTGTGAATTTGTTGACACAGTAGTTGGGAGTTCAATTCCTAGCAGTGAAAACAAGGTAAACAATAACTAAACAGTACTAAAATAAGAATAAGATGAAATATCACTAGACATGGACAACCGAAGAAAAACAATCTACTTCTGTATATTAAATAAAGAGTCAATTTTGAAATTCCCTAAAGATTACTGTGAAATAATTGGCCATGGTTAAGTGTAATTGACAAAATTCTCAAGAAACAGAAGTGACAATGTTCTCTATAAACATTAGGGGGAGGGGGAAGAACCAGGCAAAATAATACAAAGCAAACAATGTAAATGCAATTCAAAACTAGGCAAAGCAACAGTAATGAGGCAAAGAGTTCATAAAACAAGAATTGTGTTCACACACAAAAAGGATATAGTCAAGTGGTTATAGTGCTGAAAACAAGAAAGGACAATAATATGGGGGATAAGACAGAGACCTGTCTATTTTTATTGGTTAGGAAGAAATCCCAGCATACATCTGTAGGATCTGTCTATAAATTTGAAGAGGAAAATGTTCTTGATTCTCCCATGATTGGAATCAAGTTACTGAAATTGACAAGCACCTGATTAAAGCCAGAAGAAACAACAGTGAAAACATTGTGATAACAACAACAAAAATGGGGATAATAGTCCAACTGTAAATAATCTAAATACAAACTGTAAAAGTTAAATAACTTATGACAACACTTATATATTTAATAATAATAGTCATCTTTTACCATGTATAAAATAGTTGCTGAAACAAATATTTAAACTATTTTCTTTAGTTTTGCATTTTATTTCTAAATTCATTATTAAATAAAAAAAAACTCAAAATTTTAAAATATAATCATCTATAAAAAATAAATTTTATAAAAAGGAAATTATAAAATTTTATAAATCTGGTTGACCATGTACATCTCAGAAATCATCAATTCTATTAACTGCTCTTAAATTTAGCTTAATTGTTTGTTGTATGCAAATCAATGTAATAATATGACCAATAATGGAATCTTAATTACTCAAGCTTCAACAGCTTACAGCCACTATTGTGTTGAAACACCAGTATGACCACTAAAGTTAAGCAATGTTGGGTTTGGTCAGTACCTAAATGGGTGACCACTTGGGAATATCATGTGCTGTAAATTTGAATATGCAAGAGATGCAATGTATTGTTAATCGAAGAGCCGAGTTCCAATTCCCATTTAGTTCATTATATTCACCTATGTGCAAATACCTTTGGGAAAGGTATGAATTCAACTTTTCTCCCCCAGCAATGAGTTAATTAGTAAAACATGTATTGTTAAACCTAGAGTGGCAAATTCTCCATGAAAGTAGAAAACAGAAAATCACAGTAAACAAGGTATTTTCTACTAAAAAATAAAGTATTCTGATGGTAATAAGTAAAATTCCTGAGCTGGAACTTGACAGAATCATTATTTTTCATAAATTAGCAATACACGTCAAAGTCAGTGATGTCTATATTGCTGCAACATGTCATTCTATAAATAACATGGGATATTTTCAACTACTGATTCCAGTACTATGCAAGTGCCATAACCTAATTCATGATATTAAACTGGTCAAACCAGTCACCACTGGTTGCCACAGGGCAAATACTCACATGTGATATTAGTATATGAATAGTGTGGCATGCATTGTCAAGGGTAGTAAAAATAAAAGTTGTTTGTTTAGCAATTAAATTAGATTTTTAAATGCCATTTTGTTTATCATTCACAATGAGTAAATGGAAAGCTAGCAAACTTGGTAGGTGCATAGTTTTGGCAAAATACAGAGCTGAAGAGCCAGCTTTCTGTAATAATTTTTATCATGATAAATTATTTTGCAGGTTTTTTCAACACACCATAGATTAGACTTAGAGGGACATGCTTGTGGATCATCAGAAATCACTGAAGCACAAAAACATAAAGATGCCTATATAAGTAGGCTATATATTTGCATATATTACTGCTTACACACATGATTTTAAAACAAAAAAAGGAAAATTGAAATTCACTGTCATGAAATTCGATGTTTTAGAACACTGAGAACTTACCACTCTAATTAAATGATTACTATCTCAAAAGAAAAAAAATTTTTCTTACAATCTAAAAATATTTTCTGGCTTTAAATAAAACTTGCTAAGCCATAGAAATGAATGAATCAATCAATGAAATTACAACAAGAACATCTAAGTTGCTATAAGATGATATATCTACTTGGTTATTGATGCTTCAGTGATGTAAAGCACCTCTTAAGAGAGAGAGAAAAAAAAAAGAAGACTAATTAACCTTTAACACTCAGCATTATCCACTACTTTCCTTTCCCCTTGTTTTTCAAGGCTCTTCTACTGAACTACTTAATTTCAGTCATGGTCATAGCAGGATATGACAACACAACTAAAATTCAAACATTTATTAATCTGAGCCAATTGCAGTGGTAAGATAAAATTTTTGCTTTGCAAGCAAAATCACCTCCTGTATGTTAAAGGTTAATCATGGTTCCATGTCAGGATTGCTACATTTGAAAGCCAAACATTACTAAATTTTTAGTTTACTTTAATTTACTTTTTAGTGTAGCCTAAGTTATTGTAAAAACAGTCCAAGTAGTAAAACATTTCAAAATTTAATGTGTTCCCCTCGGAACAGTCACAGTGATTCAAAATTTACAGATATTGAAAAAGTTGAACCATCAGTGAAAAATATATATATATATATATATATATATATATATATATATATATATATATATATATTTTAAAGAGGTTTGAAAAGTATCCCAATCTTTCAATTGAAGAAATTATTAGACTTAATGTAAAAATAAGGAAAGTAAAAAAAAAAAAATTGCATGTCACAACAATTTACAAAAAATAATTACAGATGGATTTTAAAATTTCAATGACTATGTTAAAAAAAAAAAAAGTGCATAACCAAACTAATATTGCAAAATGTCACAAATGCAAAAAATAGGAAAAGAGTTGTTGTTTACGAATATTTTTTTTAAAATAACTGTTTGAAGTAACTATTATAACATTTGATCTGTCCATATACAATCTCAAAATTTAAAACCAGCTAAATAAAAATTTTCCTTTTAATAATTAGACAGGCATATATATATATATATATATATATATATATATATATATATATATATATATATATATATATATATTAAAAACAAGAAAAGTTTATCCTTAAAAGTAATTTGTTAATGAATTTTGGAAAAATTAATATCTTATGTGCAGAAATTCTTTTTGTATAAAATTTTAAAATCATGAATAATAAAATTAACCTTTAGCACTCTGTATGTAATTTAATTTGTTGTGCAAAAAGTTTATCCTATTACTGAAGGTGAATCTCATCACTGAATTTGAATTTGTTTGAATTTCATAGTTCTGTTGTCATATCCTGCTAGTGCAACAGAAAACACCTTTGAATGAAATTAACAATCAGGTTACAGTAATTGAAAGGTCTTAAAAAAGAATGCAGTGGAAAAGGCAGAAATATTAATAATGCAGAGTACTAAAGGTTAATTTCTGGAAAGCCAAAATAAGTTATGACACCGTAGTCATTCTATTTTTGATAGGTCTGAATTATATCTATTTCAAAATGCATATTCTGAAATAGATATGCATTCTCAATAATATATAATTATTTTTTGAAGCATCATTCTCATGTGGCTTTAATAATTACAACTTATTTATATATACAGTCCATAAGAAAAAAAAAAAAAAAAAAAAAAAGAGATTTGAGAAAATATTTTCATGGGTTGTCATTTAACCAGATTCTGGAAAATATACTGGTACAAGATGCTTTCACCTTCTCTATTGATCAACTTTTCCAAATTACAAATGATCCTTCTCAGATAAGGAGATCCCATCGAATATCGTTCAAAGTTCATTTTGAAAGAAATATGGGTCAAACTTTTGACTTTCTTAAGTCATCATCAGGGTAGTTAGAGACAAATGGTGAGTTTTGTATAACTGGCAAGTGTAGCAATGTAGGCAAAGAGTGTTGCAAAATAAACGAGGTATGACATGTATGTGCACGTTTATTTT